TTTGCAAGAAACGAACAAGCAAGTAAATATGTACATTCCCTGAGTAAATATTCTGGCAACAAACTATACATTTCTCACTAGAAATGTAATCAAAACTAATTTTAATGCAAAAACAAACTCAAGTTATTAATCTTTCCACAAAAAATGAGCGAATGTCGGCCATCTATATATATTTTTTTCTTCTCCCAGCTGGAATCTTGAAAGTCACGTGACTAGGACGTAAAACAATAGAAAACGTATAGGCAGAAGAAACGTAACAGTACCACAAAAAAATGGCCATTAATGTACCTCCACTACGTTTTGCAGTGTGGACCAACGTAGTGGGGGTACATTTTCCCATGAGACTGGGTTGCTGGTGCAGGGGGTGACAGGTGTTAGGTCCATGATGGACGTAAGTTTGAACAACACCCTACACTCAGACACGTCCTCAGTACAGAGTGTATCCCAGGAGAGAAGTGGCCCTTTTCACCAGCTTATTCAGTCTCTTTCTGTCCCAAAAAACGAAATCAAATACTCAAAAATCTCAGGGTTTGGAAAACACAGCATATGTACTGGTATTGCTTAGTGAACCAAGGGCTTAGTGCTGTATTTTCGCCTATGCTTTGATTTGCACTATATAAGCTTACTGTTTGTGACTACAAAGATTTAAAGTTAACTTAGTCAACTAAAAGTATGTTTAAAGGTATAGTGGAGGATTTTTATGATTTTTTTAAAAGACCCACCCCTTCCACTGAAAAAAAAAATGCACCTGCACAACCCTGTACCTGCTCCGGAGAGGGAATGACTGTTAAACGCGTGCAAGAGCATGCACAAGCCCATTTCTCCTCATGCACACTCTGTTTAAAAGTTGCTGTTTGCATCGCTCATACAAGCTTACTTTTCAAAGAAGAGTTGCAATTTTTTCATTATGTCAAAATCACCACTGGTTATTAAAAATGGAGATGAGCACGTAGGACGACCTTAGTAAACATATCACCACAATGATTGACAATTAGGAGGACCACTTATTTAGATGATCCACCCAGAAAAAGAACCTCCTCCACTATACCTTTAAACTAAGGCCCCGTCCACACGAAGTCAAAACGAACACGAAACGCTAATATTTTCCAAAACGTTTGCCGTAAAGACGGAGACGTAAAATAAATGTGAGCGTCCACACGAATGCATGAAAACGCTGCAAAATGTATGCCAGGCCTGTAAGTGGCGCTGTGGTGCCAAAGCAAAAATAAGCGACGAAATGTTGGGCATGGCACTAATATTTATACATGGTTGCCCTGCGGGTCCATTTTCGTGGTTAAGTCAAATTCAGGTGCTGAACTATGTCGTCGATATTGCTCTGTTCTTCCTGGAGATATTCCAGAAGAAGAAGATTCTGTTGTAAGCCCGACAGCAGGGTGAGTAGCATTAGCAACGGCGCCATTGTTGTTGTGATACTGGTCGCGCATGCGTGTGTAGAGGCGACGCTATGACGCATGCGTGTAAAAAAAAATATGCGGTTAGGGCGTAAAGATGGAAACGCGAAAACGGCGTTTCGAAATCTTCCCACTCTGAAGGCTGAATAAAAAAAAGATCGTTTACAGACCCCCGAAACGCCGGCTTCGTGTGGATGAGAGGCTGGTTTGGTGAAAAATTTGTGCGTTTAGGCCAGGGTTCGTCTTCGTGTGGACGGGGTCTAAAAGAGCTACAGATCTATAAATTGCTACTAAAACTAAATCACATCTTGTTTTAAATGCCATAATGTCAGTTTGCACTGTCATACTAAGTATGCTATTAGATTTTCTTGAGATGGATGCCAGTTATCTGAATTTATTGTGATAGGACATATTGAAAGATAGATTTAATGTGACACAGATAAAAATCATATGAAATGTCAAAATGTGTCACTCTTTTTTTCTTATAGGTGGTTGAATGCATATGAATCATTTTTCAAAGTGGTTTTATTGCTTTATTAGATGCCACAAACACAGAGAACATAAGAGAAGAATACCATGCAGGAGGTTAAAGCCCAAGAATTGTTAGTTACAAAGCCCATGTAGAAGCTCTATCATGCTTTGGTGTCTGCTTGTGTGTGTCGATGGCATCACAAACATCGGTCTGCAAGTCATGACGTGTTCTTAACTTTAAATAGTTGGACCCATCTTAGGTTTAAGCTACTCTTAGTTGTGGTGGTAGTATTGTTGATCATCTAGCTATACTTTTTTAATAAATCTATCTTGATCACACAAAGTTCACTTGACCACACACATAATATAATAGTTTGTATTGTCCTTATACATTATATACAGTTCTTGGATAAAAGCAGTTCCCATGTCCAAAACTTTGTGAATGGTTTGTGTTTTTCAGAGCTTTATTGGGTAAAATATGGATGATTAAGTAAACACAGTACAGAATACAATGCATTTCTTAAAATAACAGGGATTATTTATGTTATAAAAAGTTGGTAAAGATTAGTAAGGTGAAAACTTTAGCAACAGTTAAAGTATAAGGAGCGTATGCCCGTGTTAATGGCCTATGCCCCTTTTTATGCAGAAGCTGTGGTCTATTATAAACAAACTCGGCATGAAAATGTGCTATCCTTCACACCAACACCATGGGCTATGCAAATTCTAAAGACATGAGAAATTGTTAAAACCGAAGGTTGATGAATTCTAGCTAGATCGCATTACTCCTCTCAATTACTCTGACTTCACTTAAGAAATGTTATATCTAGATCAGATATCAGATATGAAAATGTAGGGTGATATATGCTCGCACCGGTCCATGCTTCATTTGGTACGAGGCTGCACAAAATGTAATACATAACTTACATTATTTTTTACATTTTACAAAAATAATGCAATGACTGAACATTATCAAACAGTAAACCTGTAACAACTGTTCTAACCTTATGAAAAGAACAGAGAAGTTTTCTACACAACTGAGACTTCACATTACATTCCTCAAGATGGAAATACAAAATTAATAACTAATTAAAATAAAAAATTAATTAAAAAAGGCTCATAATTTTCCTTGAAAGCAAAAGTTGGGGTCTCTTTCATAGAGTTCCCTCTGATTCTTAAATTTAATTTTGCACTCCTTTCTTTGCCCTCAATATTCTTAACCAATCCAATGTAATGGTCTATGCCTAGTTGAGCCACTGCTCCACCTGGCTATGTCAGTGTGTCCTTGGCAAGACACTTCCCCTGCCTTACCTGCTGTTTTGGTGCAGAGAGACCAAATATATGATGGCCACATTTATGTCAGTCTGTCAAGATTTGTTTTGGTGAGGGTTAAATCAGTAACAGGACATCAGGAGACACATGATGGCGAAGGAAGATTCAGTGCAGAAGACAAAACCCGATGAAAACAACTGCTGAGACCAGGTGGAACAGTCTGACCCAGATCTGTGGTGGGTACAGTATAGCTTTCTACCATCAGTGTGTGAATGACTGAATGAAGTGTAAAGAACTTCAGAGTCCTTGGACTTGATAAAGTGCCATATAAGTGCAGGTAATTTACTGTTATCATTGAATACGCCAACAAAATTAACGTTTGGAGAAATTCACTTTTGGAAATTAACTAATGACTCAACTTACCCTAAGGCACTTGGCTCAACTTACCCCACAGCCACCACTGAGGAAACAAAGTCTCAACATTTCAAGCTAATCTTTAGCTAAATACCGCATATGGTTAAATATGCAAGTAAATCATCAACATCCATGGCATCTATTTTTAGACCTGGATAAATCTCTCAGGTAAGAAAAAAACAAAAACTGTCATGCAACAGTCAAAATCACTTGTTTGGTGAAGTTCAACTTTAGTATGGATTCTATGCAATGTCTTATAAATAAGACTTCTGATTTCTTTTTTGATTTAATATAAAAAAAAGTCAGAGATTTCAGCCTTTTTTTAATTTTAATGTTACAGAGTTAACTTTTAGAAATCTATCACAGGCACTAGGATCAACACCTGTCAGTGGAAAAACAAAATGAGGTAAAAAGGCTACAGAGTCGCAACACTGCTTCAAAAAACATTTCTGTAAATACATACGATTACTCACTAATATGTACATGATAATGTAATAAATAATTATAAAAAAACATCAAATCTTAGAAATCCATTAAAACCAATAACTAATTTGTACAAAACTTTGGACTTAAAAGACAGAAAGTACAACAGAACCCCCCTCTCTCACATATAAAGTGTATTGTACTCAATGCCATAAACAATTTTAGATAATGATGGTTGCTCCTTTGTTGATTAAGAATGATTTCAGAGTACAACTGATTATAGCTGGTTACTTATATTTTCAGTTCTGTCAAAAGCTGAATATAAGCCTGAGATAAACAGTAGTATCACACTGTAAACAGTTTATTAAACATAATTTCTTAGAGATTTTACTTCTTTCACCACAGCTCAGAAACTAGAATCAGTGAAACAGTAAATATGTAGCTCTGTGTCTCAGCATTCATTTAGGTATTCACTGGTCATCCCAGATAATACACATTAGCCTGTGTTTCTTCTCCAATCAAAGAAGATCATGTCTATGGATCTGCTTTACATGTGATGAGAAGGAAAACACAGCAAAATACAGCTAAACTCAAACACATAAATAATAAAAACAGAAGACAGCAAAATCTTACAAAATATATTCAGAACAGGTTAGACAGTTGATGAAATAGGACAGAAAATACAAATGTAAAACCTAATAAGTAGTTAAAAAATTAACAAATAAAAAATCTGAAATGTCTTTTGTTGAATAATTTGAACTGTTTAATGTTCTGCTAGGCTCTTTATTCATTCACCTCTTTATCTGTTTCATACTTCATACTAATTTCTATGTGCCATTACTTATCATTTTTTTCATCTTGGTAATTAGGTTTTTGAAGGAGCTATGGAGATTAATAATCTTAGGAATTCCACTTATGTTTTATTTAAATGTATATCATAGGCTAAACATTTCATATATATGATGCCATATTTAATGTTAAGTTAGTTGTCATTTATTAAATATCCTGTTCTGCTGTCTTAAATGTTTTTTTTCTTTGTTTGGCTGTTAATTCTTGTGCTTTATTTCTCTTGTGCATTTGAATTCAGCCCTATATTGATGTGCTTTTGTCCATCTATGCCACCTCATTGACTTAATAGTTAGCATGACAATGAACTTCCAGACAATCAAAAAAAAAAAAAAAAAAACCCTAGCTAACTCTATATTACTCTATTAAGATAAATCTGTATAACTTTGAGCAAAAATTTGTAAAACACGTTTTTCACATTTTTACCAACTACAATAAAAAGTATCTTTCACGGAAAGAATCACAATATGCATATAATAACATTATCACACAGGAACAAATATGTAAGTTGAAAAACAAACACTTGAACTTATGATACCTTAGCAGCATTATAATAAGGGAGTGTTGTTAGCTTCACTGGTGCTGCTCTTTACTTAGTTTTGCGGAACAGGAAGCCATAGCTTGGAATCATTGAAAAAAAAGGTTTTGGTCATTTTTCTATAGCAAATGCAATACAAAGAGCTTATAAAACATCCTTATTCATCCCTTTTGTTATCTTTATCTAATATTGCTGCAGCGTAACCTTCTGATTGATTAAAGTCATAACTATACATAACAAGACAGGTCTCTTTCACAAATAACAGTAATGTCCACATTGGATAACATGGGACTTTACTAATATCATCAGAATCAGGTAGAGAGCACTTCATATTTCTCAGCTGACCTCGAAGTCTTAGCTATAGATATTTGATTACAATTTTATTTTATTTTTCTTTTGGACACCAATGTGTTTAAAAGTATAGCCTTTTCTAGATTTTACAGAAAGATTTCAGTATCGGACTTTGAATAAAATCTGTCTTTCATGAGCAAATGACTCAGCGCATTTATTTATATCTAACGGTTAATACACAAAGGAGATAAAAAGTGGACACCCCTCTTTTTAAGCTAAACTTAATTTTAAAGAATAAAATATAGCTTGATATTCAGACTTTTGTTCTTTATTTCTCTTTAATATGTGTGTTCATGGTCCATAACCTTAGTGTGTCTGGTCTGGCTTCTCATACACAGTCATATATGGCAAATAACTGCTTCTAATGAATCAGGTACTGGTGCAGGTTTCTCCTGTAAAAAGGAGTTTTTCTTTTCCATTGTCACACAGTGCCTGCTCACAATGAAAGACTGCTGCAAGGTTAACAAGTTGATCCAAAAAATGCTGCAAAGTCAGCAGTTCAATACAATTCTGAGACTTTTACCTATATGATCGGCTTTTATTAGCCTGTTTTGACTAGGATCTTATCAACATTATAGATGAACTAAAATTAATTAACTGAATTTGAAACACTATCAAAGGCTATCATTATTTTTAAAAATTGCAGAGAAGCCAGTGGTTATTTACAATGAAAATGGAGATACTAAGTAGACATCCAAAATGTTCCTGTGTGAAAATCATGCTGAGAACAGAACCAATTTCCAACTGTAAGTTGGTGAAACAACAGGTTAAGCATTGGAAGCAGCAGAAATGTTACAGTGGTTTTACTTAAATATATGTATATATATTTATTTAATGTGTGAATAACTCATGTGCAAAGCATTTTTTTCTGTATTAAAAATGATATAAAAAAGTGGATGGAAATTTGTTGAAAAACAAACGAAGATAAGTTATAATATAAGCTTTACTAAAAGAAACTTCAAGAAAATAATCTTTTTTTTTCTATTTATTTTCAGTCTCTTTGCAGAAGCCAAAATCTCTAACAAATCAATCTTTTAGCCAAAATTCTTTGCTTACATTTACTTTGGATTTGAGTAAAAGTAAATGTTTGAGTTTCTATAGACAATCATTTTAAAATGAAACAAAGAAACATCATAGACAATTACTTTGTACTGTACCAAAAGTGTTCCAAAAAGGAATTTGGAATATCTTTTAAATTTGACTTTATACAGGGGGCTGGATGTCCATCTGTATCAACATCATGTACAGGTGAAGCATTTTTAAAGTAACAAAATACCAACTGACCTGCAAATTGCATGGACAAGTATGACACTTTTAAATATGGATTTGTTTTGAGATGGGAAAAGTCAACTATTTTCTTGGCTCCTCTGAGATTAGCCAATCACTTTTGCCTTCCGTACCATTTCATGTTTTAAATGCCAATGAGAGTAATGTGCTGCAGATAATAAATTGCATATAACCGCATATAAGCTTTTTACAGAACCCCATTGCAGGAATTCTAAACAATAAAAAAGTAAATGGAATGGGTTAAATGTTTTGTCTTTTTCTGGTGTTCAACCATGTCTGGCTTCTCTGGTTACTCTTAGATAATGTTATTCGTTTAAATGAGATAATTACGTGTTAGCTTAAGGATGTGTAAACATGTTACAGTAAATAGCTACATTCACTGAGGTGCAAGTGCATTCTTTACTAAATATCAATAACACTATGAAACTGTGATTATGTTAGTTCAAACATAGGCAGAAATACAAATAAACAGAGGAAGGGAATGCTTGCTTGTTGAGTTTCTTGTAAGGTAAATTAAAGTATTTTTGTGGCAAAACTGAAAGAGGATTAAATGTCAGGGGAAACAATGACAGTGCTGTTTAATTCTTAACAAAAATAGCTACTATTTACATAGAAGACAAAAACACCAATATGGTGTTTGCTTTTTTGCCAACAGTTCTTTTGTTCCAACTTCAGCATGCAAAACCTTTAAAACATAGCCTTAGACACTCCACTTTATGAATGATGCTTTCAGGTTGAGCTGATTTGCACAGACTCGCTCTTTGTAGCATCCCAGCGTAGAACACCAGGGCAGTCGTCAGTGTTTAAACAACACACGTTTTCTAGGAAGAAACCTGTATTTGTTCCTCTGCCTTCTAAAATGTTCTGATATGGCTTTTTGAGAACCTCTACATGTTTATTTGCAGGTGTGCACATCATAGACTCTTACACATTCCTGGCAGCTGACATAGCAGCACCAATGGAAAATGCAGTGACACTTCTCCTTCCTCTTCTCAGTCCTGGTGTTGTGACCTCTGCCGCAACATAGTAGATCACAGCCGTCTATGCCATGGGATGTCAGGTTGCAGATGCGATCTCGGGTACCAAAGGATCCTGTCTCTGGGTTGGGGTCGCAAAAATTGGGGGAGCTTTCGTAATAAACCAGATCACGATCTGTGGGGGGCTTGAAGTAGTTGTACTTGGGTCTCAATGTCTCCACCCAGCCGCGGGACTCCTTGTGTTTCTCCACAAGCATCTCAGAAGCGCTGTCATATTTGTCCTTCATGTAGTCTCCAATGACCCGAAAGTCTGGTTGAGACCACCAGCATGTCTTGACTTCACAGCTGCCTGAGAGCCCATGGCACTTGCACTTCAGGAACATGTTGTCATTGAGGGACTGTAGATTTTTCATAAAAGCAAAATCCCAATAGGTTACTAGTATATCTTAGACCAGAGCAGTTGTTACATTACAGAATCTAAAGAACAACTGACCATTCTTCCTGCCTCGTTGTTGTGGCGGTTCATGGCAGAGCGTGCATCCGGACGGTTCTCCCTCGCGTCTGCAAACTCACGGGACACCATGCTTCCAAATTCAACATCTTCACTGCAGCCACCCCATTTCCAGCCCTCTCCAGGGGGTCCCTTGTGACGTGCGTCGCATCCACAGATGGTGGCTGAACCATCAGCGCAAGCCCGGGTCACAGCAAAAGCAACCCCCGCTGACGCAATGGCATGAACAAAGGCAGACTCTCGAGTGGCTAAAAAGAGAAATAAAAGAAAATGGGTTACAAAACTATTGTAAACAAACTGTATAGTATAGATGGTCTTTAAAAAATTTGGATTACCTTCAAGTAAGAATATCAAGAGCTTTCATATCCACTAATATATTTCTTGGTTACCTCCTCTTACAGAGATATGGTTTCATGTTATTCCCCGCTGATGTCAACATTAAAATAACTGCATATTAAGTGCTAAATTATTAATGATTTCACCTGTTTGTCATTTATATACTACTTTGAGGCTTTGTTCAGCCCAGACATCAATCGTGCTGTCTCTAAATAAAGCTGGAAAGGCCTCCATGTCTCTATTTGACATAGCTAACTGATGAGTCAGAGGGATCAGGATCTTCCACAAAGATGAGAGGAAAAGACAGGCCTGACAGGCCTATAATTAAGAGACTCAATTAAGCTTTTGAAAGGTTAGGAAACAACCTAGCGAGGTGGAGACAATGTACCACGTGGAGAGTAGTCTTTATTGACCAGGTACCTAATTCACTCCCCAAATTGAGTGCATATATGAAAACAAAGACTTTCTTTACACCTCACATGAGGCGTAACATGGAAAAGCAAACAGAAAACCAAGCAAGAGAAACAAGTATACCTGAAAATGAGTAGTATGCTTATTAACGGTATACAGCTGACTTGTTTGACTGAGTCAGAGAGCCAGAGAATGTTTCTGTCTAAAGAAACAAAAAAGGAAAGAGGGAGAGAACAAATGAAAGAAAAGAAAAAAGGAAGGTGCATGTAGCTAAAGGCAGGAGGAGCCCCTCCCTTTCAGCAGGTTGCAACCAGTTTAAGGACTAAAGGGCATTAAAACAGTGATGCAAGAAAGAAGGTCTTTTTGACTCCTCCACCACCCATTTCATCTGCTAGTGAATGCATCCACGGTAACTAAAAGTCAACAAACCTAACCATCAGACCTCATGCTCTTCAACTGCAACACAGTTAATTTATTTTCAAGTCAAACACTCCAAATAGAATAATAATTTGAACAACCAAAATTGTCTTAACTTAAATGTACCACGAGAGGCATGTGTCTTAAAAGTTTTTTTTGCAGTTATTCCAGTAACTACTTAGTATACCATACTGAGATATGTTCACAAACAACTGCTGGATTGGTTCAAAGATGCCATGACATGATGTGTTGCAGTGTTACTCATTAAGTGTATTTTTTATCTCATAAATTGAAGTTTGAATTTGGGAAAAAGGACAGCAAGGTCTCTAGACATTAAGATCAGGGATTCTGATTCATCAAATGGGTACCCAAGATTATCATTGGTACCAAGGAGTCGCAAGACTACTGTGCTAAATCTGGACAGGTTTTACTCATAAGTCATTATGGCACAAAAACACACATGGATGTTGCAAGTCAAATCAAATCTGAAAAAGAACAGTTTTTTTTTTTTTTTTTTATCTAACCTACAAGCTCTAAATCCAATATAGCTGTCTTGCATAAAAACGTGGCTGACATTTGTAGTAAACAAACTGCACTTCTAACAATTAGCATCATAATAAAAGCTTTTAGATGAAGATCACTGTATCCCCTCCCTTGGTGTGCATAGTTCTATTGTTTTTTCAAGATGTGAAAAAAGAAAATATTTTTTTTATGATTTTTCACACCAATGGCCTGATCTTCAAAGCATCCAAATAAGGAGCATCCAATTTTGGTTGGGCAAAAAATAAAAAATAAAAATAGACATGTAATAAGAAAGTGTGTTCAGCTCAATCCAATTTAATTTAATTCTGTTTATTTATATAAACAAATGCTATTATTCACACATCATCTCAAGGCACTTTACAGAGACAATTCAGTCGGATCATTAAGCCAGATTGATTAAAATGTTGCAAGAAAAACCCGGCTGATTGCATCGTTTCATTGACTTTTCAGGATTCACTCCTCCTGGATTAGGATGTGGCGACAGTAGACATTTGCTTGCATTGTGACTCTTAAACAATCCCTTACTCTAGGTGTGCATGTAGTGACAGCATCAGGAGAAACTCCCTTTTGACAGGAAGAAACCTCCAGCAGAAGCAAGCTTAGTTGATAAGCCGGACAACTGAGGATTTGAGAGGACAGAAGCAGAAACACAGAAAAGGAACATAGAAGACCTGATCAATAAATTGTTGGTATACTAGAGAAAGGAACAGTACACTAGCTCCATATGTAGCTCTGTCTAGGAATTAGACAGTTAAGCAGATGAGCTCTGTGCCAGTTTTTATGCCAAAAGATATGAAAGAAGGTACATAAATTTAGTCACAGTAAAGACTAGGTCAATAGGTATATCCAGGAAAGAAAAAGGACTAAGCCCTGAAAAACAGGCCCAACTTTATCATCTATCATCAGACGTGTTGATGGCAGCAGCTCAGCTGTTTTTTTTCCCTCCCGAAAGGTGTTTCAGCCAAACAGAACCGGGCCAGATGAAGCTACTATCACAAGAAATAGCAGCAGGAACATAAAGTTCGGGGTTAAACTAACAAATACCGCAGTATTGGGAACAGAGACTAAATTAAGGAGAATGATAAAAAGCAGTCCCAATGTCCTCCAGCGGTCTAAAACCCCATTTACACTACCGTCTGAAAACCAATCTGTGCCGAGTTCAGACTGAGCTTGGATCAGTTAACTGTGCAGAGTTTGGTTCCTTCACCACCGTTTACACACCACGCTAGCACGGCTCCTTCCCTTTTAAACAGACCCATCATAGGCGGAGGCCTTAACATTCAGGAAGTCTGGTTATAATGGTGATATTGTTTGTGGAGAGTCAGGCGAAAAAGGCAGCCTTTGGTGAATTTACTTGACAGTCAGCTTTTGGGAAGTGAATATGACAAATGATAGTGTAAATCAGGACTTAAAGATGCAGGAAACAATTATAGACGTTAAAGTTCACACTGCTAAGCAGAGTCATCACTGGAAATCGTGAGGCAAGGTAGGGAAGCTAGTATTTTTATGCATGTCGGAAATGTCATGATTGCGGAGGCTGACCATAGGGAGATGACACGGTCTGCCGAGCCCTACTGATGAACTAGTACCAGTTTTGCTTGTGTTTGGTGCGGTCCAGTTTAGTTATGTGTGCCAATCACTCTCAACAGTTGTCTCGGTTACTGTGCTCGGACCGATTTTGGCACGGTTTCAAAAGGGTAGTGTAAATGGAGCTTAAGCCTAAAACAGCATAACTATAGAGATAGCTCAGGATAACCTAAGCCATTCGTACTATAAGTTGTAATAAAACTGAATATTTTAAGCCTAGCCTGCCTCACTAAAAGTAGTAGTTGGTTCCACAGGAGAAGAGCCTTTTAACTAAACTCCATTCTACTTCTAAATTCTAGGATCTACTGATAAACCTCCAGACTGAGTGCGAAAATCTCTGTTAGGAAGACAGACAACTTCAGATCTCTGATATAAGATGGAGATGGATTTTGTTTTTAAGGATTTATGAATAAGAAGGAGAATTTTAAACTCTATCTTAGATTTAATAGCTGGAGCCAATGAAGGGATTAGCCGAAGGCTTTTAACTAAAGTTCATGGACTTCCTGATAGTAAAGAATGACAATAATCCAGCCTTGAAGTAACAAATGCATGGACTAGTTTCTAAGCATTATCCCCGGTCATGATATTTGTAAGACAAAGCTTCTATTTTGTCTGCATTCAAAAGCAGAAAGTTTAATGTCATTTTGATATCTATGTGTTGAAACCAAGCACGTAGTTCCTGTAATGGGTATGTTTCTTTGGGATTTATGGACAAATAAAGCTGTTGTCATCAGCTGATAATTCTAGCTATATATATATATATATATATATATATATATATATATATATATATATATATGAAGATATTTGGCCATAGTACAGATCCCTACGTCCAATCGAATGAAGATTTTCTTAAAGATTAATTTGCATTAATCTGTGCAAGTTTGAACAGATGTTTTCTGTCTACATATATTCTTCTATTGTTACTTTTGATTGCCAAAATATATACACATGCATACATACTCTATTTCTATCATCTGTCATTGTATTAGTGTGTCCTTTATAGCCACAATGACCCCAAAATGTTTAGTCAGTTTGCACCTGACCTTCAAATGTATTAAATATAGTCACAAAAACTGAGGATGCAATCTGTGTCTTGATGAATCTCTTTATTAGTGGTAACTATTGTACTTGCATATATTTCACTCACACATCTGCACAGTTTAGTAATTAAAATATGATCTGTGAATGCACAGGTTAAAAAAAAGGTTTTCAAGTGCTGTTTTTGCTGACTGTCACTTTGCTCGTGTCACAATACATGCAGAACTCTTGAAAAATGGGCCCTAAGTATTTACTGGAAATAAATATGTGAATATTGAAATCTAGACCTGGAAAATAGCTTGAACTTCAGATTCCAGAAGCAAAGACACTAATCCTCTTCATGGCTCACTGTTATCTGTAACATCACAGTTGACATATTTAACTTGAAAATATCCACTGCTCAAAAAAATTAAAGCAACACTTTCAAAACACATCAGATCTCAGTGGGTCAAAAAATCATGCTATTTATTTATACTGATATGGACTGGGTGATTGTTAGGAACAAAAGGATGCCACATAATTTGATGGAAATGATAATTATCAACCTACAGAGGGCTGAATTCAAAAATACCCCAGAAATTGCAGTGAAAAAATTATGCGGCAGGCTAGTCCATTTTGCTGAAATTTCATTGCAGCAACTCAAAATAGTATTCAGTAATTTGTATGGCCCCCTCATACGTGTATGCATGCCTGACAACGTCGGGGCATGCTCCTAATGAGACGGGGTATCTCCTCCCAGATCTGGACCAGGGCATCACTGAGCTCCTGGACAGTCTAAGGTGCAACCTGGCGGCGTCGGATGGATCGAAACATAATGTCCAAGAGGTGTTCTATTGGATTTAGGTCAGGCAAGCGTGGGGGCCAATCCATGGTATCAATTCCTTCATCCTCCAGGAACTGCCTGCATACTCTC